GCTTTTTATAAATTACTCTATATAATATATATTTGAATAAGTATTTATAAAATTAATTTTTTATAATAGTATATAAATATCTTTAATATATAAAACTATATTTTTATTTACTCCTTATACTCTTAATTATAATTATTATTATTATACTAGAACTTAAGTATTTATTCTAATCTAAATTATGAAAAATTTATAAAATAAATTATTTTTTTTATTATTATTTTAACTAATTAATCAGTTATTATTTATAAGTTTATTTTATTAAAACTATATAGCTATAATTTTTCTTAAATAAATAAATATTATTTTAACTTTTCTTATATTTATAATATTATTAGTATTAACTAATTATTTAAATTTTTTAATCTAATTAACTAAATCTTCATATATTTTATTACTATAAGTAGAAAATATCATTATTAATAATTTAACTTGTCTATTTTACTAAGCTATTATTATTAGAGATAATGTAATAAGTATATAATACTTATTTATTATCTGTTACAATATATTATAATTCTAAAATTTTATAAGTTATAACTAGTTATAATTAAATGATACTTATTTGTTATCATATTATAATAATTGAGAAGTTATTTTTAATTATTATTTAAATAAGAGACTCAAGAGCTATTATTAATACTCATATTACTTGATTAACTATTTCTTTCTGATTTTATTCTAATTATAATTATAATAAAGATAAGTCTAGAATTATAAAAATTTAAACTTTTTTTCAGATTCTTCTTTTTTTATATCTTTTAATAGAATTATATTTCTTTTAATTAAGAAATTATTAAAGAAGATATTAAATAATAAAGTAAATATTGATAAGAATAAAATTAAAATTAGAATGAAGCTTGAGTTGAAGTATTAATTCTTGATTAATAAGTATAATATAATCTTTTTTGATTAAAAGTGATAATTTTTTTATATAAATTATATATAAATTCAGCTATCTGAATAGAATTATATGATAAATATTATTATAATTATTATTATATTTAATATTTTAATATAATAATATTTTCTTTTATTATATCTACTAAAAATAAGTTATAAATTAATTAATATAATTCTTTTCCTTATATTTTTGATAATTATATCAGAATTAAAATATTAACTATATTATTATATTACTTATTTATTTTAATATTTGTTAACTTGATTAAATTCAGCTTGAATTAATTTATCTAATATTATTTTAATTCTAATTTATTATTTACAAAGAAAGTATTATTACTATTTTAAACTTATATATATATAATATTTAAAATAATAATAGTAATTATATTTATAGTAATTATTAACTTTTAATTTATAGAATAGTAATTAACTATTTTTTTAATAATATATTTTGATAAACTTAATTTTTAATAAAATATTCTTTTAATAAACAAGAAAAAAAATAATTAAAGATAATATTTATTAAATATATATATTTATTAGAATAATATTAATTAGTTACTCTTAACTCTAGTAATTAACTACTTTATCAAGCTTAATTAATTTTTTTAATTACTTTTTAACTTTTTATATATAATATTTTTTAATTATATTAAATTATAAATTATTTTTATTATAATATTTTATTTAATTTATTCAAGAATAAATAGAAACTGAAAAAAATTATTATAAAGAACTTTTTTTAATTAAATATAAAATAATTAAAAATTAAAATTAATAAAATATTAAAGAAATTAAATTTAAAAAAAAGAAAATTAATAATAATTAATTAAAAATTATTAATTTATAAATTATTAATTTAGTATAATATATATAACTAAATTATATTTAAAATTAATTAATAAATAGAGTTAAATATAATTAAAAAAATAATTTAAAAATAAAATTATAAATTAAAATAAATTAATATTAATAATATATTATAATCTTGATTTGATAATAATTATGAATTACATCTTATATTACAATTATATTATATTATTATATCTTATATAATAACTAATTAATTATAATATTATAATATAATTAGATAATTAATTACTTATATTTTATTGAAATATTAGTTTTAGAGAATATTATTTATAAAAAATTTTATAAATATAATAATTATGAAAAAGTTATCATAATAAAATTAGCAAAATTATTATAGCAAAATTAGTAATATTATTATAATAAAATTAATATTATAATATTAATTAAAGTAATATTTAAATTATAATAAAAATAATATATAAAAATATTATTTATAAAAGCTTTAAAATATATAAAAGTAATATATCTTAGCTAGTAAAAAAAGATAATTTTATAAATTTAGTTTTTTAGATTTTAAGTTCTATAATTTTAGTTCTTAAATCAAATTTTAGTAAATTATAATTAAAAAGAATTTTAAGAAATATCTTTTATAATTTAAATCTTATAAAGATTTATAATTTTGTTTTATTAATAAACTATTTATCATATTTTTTTAAATTAAAATTGAATTATATTCTAGTTAATTATATTATAAATACTATTATTACCTATTTTTAAAATAAATTTTTAATAAAACTTAGTATAAGAATATATTCTTATGAATATACTATAAAAATATAATTATTAGTAAAAATATATATTTTTGATAGTTTAAGATAAATATTCATATCTAAAATTAATCTCATATTAAAAAAGATAATAATATATATAATTTAATATATTTTTATAATACTTAATTCATATTATTTATATTATAATAATATATTTATTTTAATTCTAATATTATATTTACTTATCTTTCTTCTTTTTTTAACTGGAATTTCTACTTTTTATATACTAAATTTTTGATATTTTAAGAGATAACAGATATAAATAATTTAAAAGTCAAATATTAAAAGATTATTAATTATTATATCATATTTAAATATTAAATATAAATAATTATAATTCTTTATAAAACTTTTTTTTAAATATTTTAAAGAAATTATTATTAATATTAAAAAGATTCATATATTTTTTATTAATAATTTTTTATATTAGAAGTTTTATTTGAGATGTATAGATATATATGAGTTATTTTTATAATATTTTTTATAGCTTAAATATAAGATTTAGATTTGTTTATATTTTTATACAAATATATTTGATTTTTTTTTGTGTTTCTTGTATGAGTAAATTTTTAAACTTGTGTTATTAATATAATTATTCCTTTACTAATATCTCATCTCCTATTTACTCTTATTCTTATTATTTTTATTCTTTCATCAACCCAACTATTTTCAAATATTCAAAAAAATAAAAACAAAAAAAATTATTTTGCAATAATAACAAAATATATTATATATAGTTATAATCATTAGATAAATTCAGATTGATATGATCTGAATTTATATAATTTGAATTGACATATAATTCACTATCCTGCTTTAGCATTCCTCATAATTGTATAACTTGATAATTATTAGGTAAATTGACATGATCTGGATTTACATAATTCAAATTGACATATCCTGCTTTAGCGTTCCCCCAAAATTCGGAATGATCTTCAGGATTTCAACCAATCATATAACTTAGAGAATTTCACGTGATTTAACAAGAAGAGTTTCCGGATGGAACATGTAGTAACGCTAATGTGGGACCGGAAAAATTCTGTCGTGATTTTGAAAAAATTCTGGTTTGTCTTTGAAAAGATTCCCATTTTATTCCGAAATTGAATTTTATTAATTATAATACATAAATGTAAGTGCACGAAGAGATTCTTGACTAAGATTTTGCCTATCATCATCCAAAATTTTGTTATACACACTAAAACGTTCTACACTACATGATGAAATTGGTAACCAAATATATTTGATAGCTATTTCACTAAGAAGGGGTAATTGATATGAAATTTTGTTTTGTTACACGGGAGAAATTCTAAATACTGATTGAATTCAATTCTGTTCTGGTGAACTAGAAACATCACCAAACAAATAATAACTAGAAAAAAACTGGCGGACTTACTTCGGTGGGTGTTCCGGATTTGATGTTTAAAATGGATTGAAAAGACACTTCGTTGGTCACCTTATTAGTAAAATGCTGGTTGATCAAGATGCGTTTTGTCGTTTCAGAAATGTTCGAAGAACATTTTGACGTCATGTTTCGCATATGCTGGCTGTGATTGAACTGAGACATTTCATTTGGAAGAAAAAGAATATTATATCGAAGGATAGTTTTCATGTAATTTTTTAATTTTTTTATTTATTATTTGACTCCTCTAAAAGGATTGGTAGTTTTGTTTTCCGAATCTTAGTATCATTCTAAATGGTTTATTTCTAAAAAGTTAAATTGTCGAAGTACTCTTTTTCGAATCTTTAATTTATAAAAACTTAATCACTTGATATTTTATTTATTAATAATTAGACATGTATATTTGTGAAAAATTGGTACATACATAATAAAGAGGAATAATAATAATAGTATATACGTGATTACAATCGATTTCATTGATGCAAGTTATTGATGATATTGTTGAAATGTCAAACTTTTGAAAATCCAATCATAAAGTTAATCGCTATTATTATTATCATCCATAGAAAAATCATTTAAAAGCGATATGTAACGAGTTTTATCAATTATGATTTCTTCCGTTCTTTTTTTGTAATCGCCAAAGTATATCTCGAGTTTTTCATTATATTCGTTTAAATTTTGCAATCATCTTCTCTAATCTTTTTTTTTGTTTGAAATCCGACAATTCTTTGTTAATCTTTAATATTATTACTTTTAATTCCTCGCCTTGAGCTCTTTGGACCACGGCTAGACAAGATGTATAATAAGAAATATTAGAGCTATATTGAAAATTAAATTGACATGACAAAAAACAGCTTACTTCTTATGGAGTCGACATCGATTTGATTTTGATTGTAATTGCTATGAACACTGTTGATGATATAATTATCAATTTCGTCATAAATAGTCCAGGCATTGTAAATTTAAGACTTTTCGAAGAAATGATAAGATCTTTGGCAGCTAAGGCTTTTTCCATTCTTTTTTTATGATCTTTAATGTATTTCTCGTTAATCTCTTTAATGCCAAGTAAATGTTTTGTATTCATTATCTATGTTCTCTAATCCTTGTTTCAGCTCCGACAATTCATCGCAAAGATTTAATAGTAAGCCTTTGCGATGAATTGTCGAAGCTGAAACAGTTCTTAATTCCGTGGCTCGATTTCTTTGTGTTCTAGCCAATATAATAATAAAAATATTAGAATTATATCGAATAAATTATTAATTGAATCGAACGTATAAAGCATATGAAGAAAAAACGGCATACATGCTACGTCAGCACCTATTTCAGACATTGGCCATCTCTTTATACCACTACTCGATGTCATAATGTATAATTCATTAAGCGAAAGCAATTTATAGAAGGTTTACAAAGTTTATTACCTTTGTTAATAACATCGATGAGAGTACTGCTTCTTTTTATTCTGTTATAATAGCGGCTTTTTATCATTTTTTATCACTTTTTGTGTGTGATGCGATACCAGTGTTGATTTTATGATCTATGACTTGTCATTGGTCATAAGGTCATAAATGATTGACCAATAGAAATTACGCAAAAAAATAAATTTGCCAATGTAATATTTCAAGAGAGAAAAGAGAGGCGGGTGAAGCTTTTTATGAAGATTATGAATATTCCTACAGTGCTGTCACTACAGTTATGTTATTAGAAAGTTTTTATTTGGTGAGGAATATGTGAGGGCTGAACTGGATCTTTTAGCAAACTATTAATTAACAATTGCTCGATCTTAAAGTATGTGCATTACCATTTACTCAGAATCATTTGTATGGACAAGATTTATTAAATTTCATTTGACACTGTGTGTGATTTTTGCTAGACTTTGTGATAGTCAAGTCAGATACTGATTCAATTTTTTATATTTCTATTAAATATCGATATAAAAAATTGTAGATCAATCTGTTTATAATTATTCATTGAGCAAAAAATTCAGATAAATAAGAGTTATTAAATGCATGAAATCAACTCACCTTGAGGATGACACTGCAAATACTATTTAAGAATTCTTAAACCAAATCTTCTGAATTAATGATGATAAAGATATATAGTATACGATGAAAAAATATAACGAAATTATATAAAATAATGTTAATTAAAAAAAATAATAAGTAAGTATTTTACATAAGCTTGTTTTCTAACTTTTTATTTATTAATAACTGAAAAATTATTAGATTTAAAATCTAATATCTATAATATTAATATTTTTTATGCTTATCTCAATATAATTCTGTTATAATAAATTTTAAAATAAAATATATAAATATTTTTAAAGAAGAAATAAAAAGTGAATCTAAAAATTATTTGATTATTTTATCATTAGCAGGATATTTTTCTCATTCTTCTAAATTAAAATCTATATTTTAATTACTTAATAACAAAATTATATCTTCTTGATTTTTAAATTAATTTTCATAATTTTCAAATTTTATTTATTCTTAAATTAAATTTTTTTATTTTTATTTTTTACTTATAATTAAATTTTTATTTTCTTCAGAATTTTAATTTATTTGATAATAAGATTTGAAACTTATTCTTTTTCTAAAGTTATCTTTATTATTATTACTTATTTGATATTTATTATAATATATAATTAATAAATTTAAGTATTATATTTTTTTATATTTTTTATTTTACAAGAATAAAGAATATTATTCTGAATTTGACTTATTATCAAGATTTTTTTTATTATATTAGTTATAATAAATATAAATATAAAATAAATAGAAATATAATTATTTAATATATAAATTTATGATTGATTTTATTAGTTAGTATATAATAATCTTATATAAGATTGCAAATATTTTTAGAGTTAATTTAGATATTATAAATATAAATTATTATTCATACTAAATTCTAAACTAATTTCTTAATTAATTTTCAAAAATTTTTATTAAATTATATAAATAATTCAATATTATATGAATTAATTTCTTATTTGTATTATATTAATTTAATTAAAATAGAAATAAATTTAGAATTAAATCATACTTCATAATAATACTTAAATTATTATTTAATATAAGTTTATAATAGATTAGCAACTATATTATTAAATTTAATAAGTTTATATTAAAAATATAATATAAAAAGAAGAAGTATTAATGATTATTTCTATTTATTTTAATATAATTTAATATATATTATTATTTTTATTCAAATTCAAATCTCAATAAAATTTAAATACTTTTATTATATATTTAAAATAATAAAGAATTTTATATAAATGAGTTATATCTTTTTGTAACTTATTTAAGAAATTATAAAAAATATAAAAATACTTATAAATTAGATAATATTAAATCTTATTTACAATATTTGTAATATTATTTAAAAGTTTTTATATAGTATTAATTAATTATTAATTAATACAGAGAAAATATTATTTATTCAAATTATATTAATATAATAATTATTAAATTTAATTAAAAGAAATTAATAAATAAAAATAATAAATTAAAGATTATTTATATTATTATTATTTTAAGCTTATATATATAAGTAATTTAAAATAATAATAATAATTGTATTGTAATCAATTACTTATTTGTGTGATGCAATAGATGCAATACAGTATATGATATAGTTGTAGCACATGGTACAGTAATCACTGATTACTACTAAATCAGGTAAATAAGTAATTTTTATTAATTAATTTTATTTATAATTAATTCTATTTTTAATATTATATTATTATTCATATTTAGTCTTATTCAAATATTAATTTAGCCATGTGTATCACATTTAATTTATAGTTTTATTAAATTAATAATTTCTTAATTAATTATTATTAATTTTCTTTTATTTCTTACTTTAACTTTAAATAACTTAATATTTTGTTAATTTTAAATTCTTTATTATTATGTATTTAATATTTTTTATGCTTATTCTTTTTAAAT